GCCGGAAGCTGTTTTTATTTATTGACCTTTATTTAACCCAGATAGTCCCACTGACATTAAGAATCTCTTTTTTCAGCTGAATCCTGGCTCCAGAGAAGACTCTAATACACACTACGGGTCAAAGGTTTTAGAGCACCACATGTTTTCTTGTTTTTTACTGTTTACTATTGACCAAAATGTATTCTAAACTTTTGACTCATGAAAGCGTCCACCTTCGGCAGATAGAAGAGCTGAACACACTCGTGGTTCGTTCTTTTTGCAATAGAAATCAAATATTCTTCAGAAAGTTCTTCCCAAGTCTGTTGCAGAAGTTTCCATAAAAGTGTGGCACTTGTAGGTCGCTTGGCTTTCACTCTTCTGTCCATCCCAAACCAGCTCGATGGGGTTTAAGTCTGGAGACTGTGCTGGAAACTCCATGTTTTCAAGCTTTACCATCTTGTTCTTTTTTCCTGAGGTAGTTTTGGCAGAGCTTGGACTTGTGTTTTGTATCTTTTATCTTTTTTTTCACCTCTGACTGTTCAGTTCTTACCTTTGTACCATTTCAAGCTCTTCATTGGACTTGCACGACTTGAATTGTATAAATAACTGGAAAAATTAGGTTGTTCTAAAACTTTTGACCAGTAGTATACATGCACCCAGAGGAAAAGAACAAAAGAAAAACATGCAAGAAATCCAGAATCAAGACGAGGACCATCTTGATGTGAGATGACAGAACTAACCACTGCTCAGAAATGAAACTGAAACACTGAACAAAAAGAATAAATTTTGGTGTAGGTGTATTATGCAAACCAATTAATAATGTATTGTTTTCATAGCGCCGTAGTGTCCTCCTTTATACCAAATCAATAAGATACTGACATGAAGCTATGACTATTTTCACTATTTTCTAATACCACAGTATGTAGTATTGTATGAATTTCGTACATTTGAGAATAGATGTTTTCCTAGCAACGTTTAGTAAAGAATTCTTAATGTCCTTGACGAGAATTGAACTGAATGATACAGAAAGCATATTTTGCTTCAATGCAACCTTTTGTAGTCCCCTGTTTTGCTAACATTCAACGTGACAAAAGTATTGTTAAGTGCTCTATTAGAATGAATGAGCGAGAATTGATTTTTTTGTCAGATTTAGATGTTTTATATTACAGAACGCTCTGGATTATAAGGCGCACTGTCATACAATGGTCTATTTTCAAACTTTTTTCACAAATAAACCGCACTGGACTTTAAACGAAACACAACAGTTAGATGGGTCAGTGGGACTTTGTTTGGTGCGTTCACGGTGACTCTGGGCTTTGTTGAGTTGTGGCGTGTAGGAAGGGTGCCGTCTGGGACCAACTGGATTGTTGGATTGTTGGCGTGTTCGCAGTGACTCAGTTGTTCAGTTGTGGCTAGAAGTGGCACATTGGACTCGCTTTTTCGGCTCGTTCCGTTCCATCGGCGTGGAGTGATGAGTGTGGCTGCGGGTGTTTTTTGCTGCACGGTCGCTGTCTGCTCCGTGTGTGTTTGCGTGTTCTGCGGGTGGTGCGGCTTTGTAGTTTACTGAAGTCGTGCTGGGACACCTGAGTTGATTCGTGTAGAGGGCGCTCTAGATTGCGGGGCGTGCAGTCGTTTTTTTGATGGGGTTGGAGGCGCCCACTAGACAGAACTGATTGTGGTGAGCTTTAAGCCAAGTTAGAATGTTGATATCTCCTCAAAAAAATATCCAGAATATTTTGTTTCATTCACACATTTGAGTAACTCTTTATAATTCGTCTGCCTACATCTCCAAAGCTCAAAATGCTCAATTCCACCTTGTGATGTCATGAAGATGTAGTTTAAATAACAGCTACTCTACATCTTTTGGTCAGTAGAGAGTGGCAAATCCAGTTCTATAGGTGTATGGACTTTAAAAACATAATGGAACACTTCCTGTATTACCATATAACACCACAGTGGAACAGAGTGTTTTTTTTTCTCTTTTGTCTAATGTGTTAAACATGTGCATGAAACAAAACTCAACTCTGGGTATGACAACATTATAACACAGATGAGAAAATAGCGTCAAATGGACCCTTTACTGACAGAAAAGTGTTCGTTCTACTCAACTTTTCCACATTACCAGAAAAAGCCCAAAATTTTAACAGTAAAAAGTAACCAAAAGCATCTTGCACTAAAACAGATGTCTCCTCTCAGGCTGGCAACGCACTGGATGAACTGCTCATTACTTTTCAGACCACTCGGAAGTTCAAATGAGGATCCTCGGGTCTCCTAGGGGCCCGTCTTCCTGCCAAGCAAACCCGGCGCGAGGATCCTTGGAGAGGAGGTAGGAAGGGGGGCATCTCGAAGCTAAAGCAAAGTTCACCCGTCTCGTCCCCCTCTAGGGTGCAGGGTGCGACGCTTTCTACTTGGGATGTGCGGAGTGTTTCGTGGTAGCAATAATCCGCCACAGCTCATTGGGCAGGCTTATTGGATCTTCCCTTGCAAGTGAGGTAAGTGGTGTGCTAAATTGATTCATATTTTTGGGGGTGAAGGGGATGTGCTGCTATTACGTTGGATATTACATAGGCAGGGACAATACTGTGGCCGGTGAAGCGTGAGCACGACATGCACTTAAGGGTCGCCACAAATTTATCTCCATCTTTCAGCCGACTAACTTTACTTAAATCAGAGGATGGAAGATAATTGATAACATTAGAGGGTAATAGTAACAGTGCACAAGAACAAGTAATATTAATTGCAGAGGGAAGAGAACAAGTTGCAAACAATATAGAAGAAGTTGTAGTAGTAGGGTTGGGCGATTTTGTCTGAAAATAAAATGATTGAATTTTTGCTCTTTCTCCTCTAAAAATGGTCAAAACTGAAAAGATTGTATTCAGTGATCATATTTAACCCATTGAAGAAATCTTTAATAAATGAGATAAAACAAACTATTGCATTAAATGTACAGCCCCAACATTTAATTTCATTGTTCAGTGCAATGCAAGAAAGTGGGGGAAATAAAAATTTAATTCCTTCCAAACACATCGATTTTAATTTCAATTCAATATTTTTTTTTTGCCCAGCCCTATGTAGTAGTTATCTGCCGTAGTAGTAGAATACTGTCAATTCAAAAATGTGCTAGGGAAAACTCAACCCTTTTTCAATGTATGTGTGAAGTACAGTGTGAAGAACTCTACTGTAATCTCAGACTTAATTGAACTACTACACATCATCCCCAACAGCTTTAGTGTTAATTTAAACAGAAAGAAGCTTGTAATTGTTTTTGTTTATTACAGGCCAAACATGTTATTGCTCTCAATCAGGAAGAATCGGAGAGACCCAGAGTAAACCTGTCGATTAAATTAATGTCAATTGGCAATTTGGAAGAAAGTTGAAAAAGTTGAGCTACATATTTAAAGGAAAAGTTGAGGACTTTAAAGACATTTGGTTGCCCTTTTTGCGCATTGTAAAGAATTTTGTATGTAGAAATCATAATTCAAATTGAGTTAACTGTGTGTTTTAGGGTGGGGGGGGTCTTAAGATATGCAATTATTTTATTAAATTTTTTTGTATAATGTCATTTTATGTTTCAATATGACTAAATATGTTTCACAATGTAAAATCGGGAACACTTTAATTTATGGACCACATATTAATAGCTAACTAAGTGATAATTGGTATACTAATTAGCTGTTACTTAGCTACAAGTTGGGATTTATTAATTAAACACTTATTAATGCTTATTAAGATTTCAGTGTATGCAGAAAAATCATCTATTTTAAAATAGTTAATGGGTTAGTACTCGCAAAATACGGCCTTATTCAAAAATGCATTCAAAGTACTTTATAAATACTAACAAAGATGTAATTAAGCACTTTTTATGCATTTTACTATTAACTAGCTAATAATACGTGGTCCCTAATCTAAAGTGTTGGTGTAAAATATTAATAAAAACATTTGTGAAAAAAAAAAAAAAAAGAATATTCTCAGTTCATGGTTTTCCAGCATAAGGATTCCTCTCTGATTTGAAGCAATAACGCAATTCTAATCCAAACATGATATTTTTTTAATGGGGAAAAGCCCTTGCAAAATCAGGAAGCAATCAATTACCCGAAACCCATGAATAGTAAAAGTAGTACGAGCAGTGATAGAAGTACTATATAATTTATAGAAATAAAGATAAATGCAGTAATTAAAAGAAGATTTTTTCCGCTCTTGGAATACTCTCCATGATTACATGCAAATATTACAATTATTGACTTTCTGTGCCATTGATCCTAACATTTATGTTAATTGAAAGCATTAATGAATGAAAAGACCCAGAACCCTGTTGAATTGAGTTGAAAGCTAGCCTTGTATGAGAGATGCATTTATCTGACTCAGTGGAGCGGAGGAGTGCGTCTGTCAGTGTGGACATCTCTATCTGGATGCAGCCGTGAGAGGCCATGTTCCACTATGATTTTCAACATCACCAAAGTCAAACCAAGAGCTATCTACTCCATTAAACACATCTACATGATCAAAGCACTGTAAACAGGAAATAGACCGGTACTATTTCACCGGCACAAATAGCATCAGCCACACTTCGCTGAACGTTTCTGCTTACATGCTTTTCATAATAACAAAGGTGAGCAACATTTAGTCTAAAATACGTGACTGTTCTATGAGTTCAAACGGGCTTATAGTCACTGAATCATGAAAGACTTTAAATATGTTTAGGGTGCAACAATATTACCTTCATAAAACTCTAGTTAGCGGCATCAGAACTAAAGAAGCTACTTATTCCCTTTGAAAACCTTTGTCCAGTTGACAGCATGTAACCTTTTGTTCTACCTGAAAATGTATTAAAACTACTTCTATTTATACTTGCTGTATGAAGAAACAAAACCAAAAAAGTGTTATTTGTTGATACTATAAAGAACACCATGGGCCCTAATACAGAACCTTGAGGTACACCTTCAAAACTTTCAATATACAAAAAACACCTTCTTCAGCTCAAATCAAACTGTCAAATCTAACTTTTTAAACCGCAAACTTACCGTTGACGACCACCGCTATATCCACAAAGTCTATCTCCCCTCTAGCCTCCACGCTAGCTTCACACCGGTACACGCCTTCGTCCGCCTTGGTCACCTGATGGATCTGAAGATTGTTATTGGGCAGCACCATGTATCTGCCTGCAAAAGAAAAAAAAAAACAAAAAACAAAAAAACGTATAGTAAGAAGAAGGAAATACAGGAGAGGTTAGATAAGGAAGGTCCCAGTAGCCAGTCAGTCACATTAGGCAGATAAGGCCCATATAGATAAACAGAGCTCTAATTACCGTAGTGGCTGAGGTGAGATTAGAAAGGCACTGCTTCCCTCAAGATATGTATACTATAGCATTGTAATTACATCAAAACCATCGAATAATATCTTTAGGTTTTCATCTTTTCTGTGAATTTCATATAATTTGATTGCCCAGTCTTTGCAATGCCAATATCTGCATAAACATATGACTGAGAAACTGCTTATGAGCCAGTCTTGTCAAAAAATGAGTGGGTTGCAGTTTTCAGTGGCGCAAATCAGGCAACCCATGCTCGCTATTTTTACTGTATCATCCACGACACTGTTAAATTGATAGGTGCAGATGCTAGCAGACATAGATAGTTTTGAAGCCTATACTATTGTACTACATTATCCAGCTGTGTTAACAATAGCTTCTACCAAACTTCTTTAATGGAACATGCACTATTTGTAGATCCCATTGTTATGCAAGGAGAAATAGCTCACTAGGAAAAAAATATTCCTAGCTAGAAAAGTTATTTTAAGAGTTATTTTTTGTCACAGTGTAGCAAGGTATTTTGAGCCAGTGAACGGGTAGATGACGCCTAATCAGGAACGTGTACTTTGCCAAATACTGTTCCTGATTTTTCTTGAGATCTTCAGGGATGATACTGAAAGTTTGTCATCAACGTTCCCTGGGGGTGTGAAGCCATCTGTAGGCACTGCTCTGTCTGAGACGTTTGTCAGAATTTAACCTGTGCTTTATTTCAACACAATCTGATGAGAAAAATTGCTGGAACTTCAACACGTGAACTGATTTGTACTATTAAACGAATTCCACGCTTAGATGGCCGATGTCCAAAAGCTTGTTTATTTTTAAGTAACATTTCAGCGAAAAAAGCCTTCGTCAGATATTTTTCCTGCTTTAGACCACAGTACACTGAAAAATATATGAGAGAGGCTTTTTTCGCCAGAATGTTATTTAAAAATAAAAAAGCTTTTGGACATCGGCCATCTGAGTGTGCTATGCATTTTTTCACTTTCGTCTTGCTGCTTCTTGCATTTAGCCAGGCTGACACCACCTAGTGCCTCCGCTCAATTTCATTTCTCTCCAGTGACTAGGTCAGGAATCAAAATACAATAGACGGTTCGCAAAAACCCCAGAAGTGCAAGTTCGGGCACCAGCCAATCAGCGAAGAGCCATATATTCAGTGTTGTTAACGATTCCCGAGATTGAGGATTTAAAGCTGGAATAAAGAGAATGTTTGGTGAATTTCATCAAGGGGAAAGACGTTATTGCCCTTCTTCCTAGCTCAATACTAGTTAGCTCCGTTAGTTGCATATTACTTATGCAGCGATTAGTTAAATGATTAAAAGTACACACCAACCGTCACGCGAACGAATTCTAACACTGCGAGGTCAAACAGTTTCTACGAAGTGAAACCGTCTGATGAATCTGGCTATCTTGCATTTGCACTTCTACAAGAATTTTTGTGTGCATTTTCTGTTTCATTAGATTAAACGAGTTCTAGTCACATAACATCATAGTCATAAGCTAGAGAGCATTAGACAGCAGTTTTTCACTTAGTCACTCTCACCGTTGTGTTGAAAATCAAACACTTAAAGATGACCATGAGCGCTCGTATTGAACGTCACCTCCTGAAAATGTGTTTTTTAAAAACATTTTGTATTTTTTCTTTACTTTTCAGACCATCTAATAAATGTTTTGACGGTGTTTGCTAATGTGTCTAATGAGTCACCACTGTAACTGATGAACATTGCGCCATACACACACTAGTATCATTTAAGGTCATCACAGGTGCCCGGTGGCAGAGCAGTTAGCACCCACTGTACATGAATAAGTACATAAAAATATACTGTAATAGCCCATTTAGCAGGCATACCAACTCCCTGTCCATTTGCTGTTGTCTGTCTCTCCAAACCAGATCCAGACAATTATCTTCAGTAATGGGTTAACTCTCCCTAACTGCCTCAAATCCCCTATTAATAAAACACAAAATTATCTTTTTATATCACACATAAAATATTCATTAACTTCATATTTAATGGACCCGACATCAGCTTAATGATGCTACGCCAAGTTACTTTATGCATTCTTTCACTCACAGGCTTGGCGTCTATGTGCTCCCCTGTTGGATTACATATTCATGACTAAATAAAATGAGTGTAAAACAGCACATTGCTGCGTTCTATAAATAATTGGAATTGGTGGCGTTCAGGGACACGGAATGGGAGTAAAAAATTTGAGAATTTTTGTACTAATGTAGGCTACTTTACGTCAACTTTGGCATGTAAAGTTACGAATAAATACAGCTATATATTGGTAAATGTAGTTGGTAAAGATGCATTGTGTAACTTTTCTTGTGGAGGGTCTGTCACTTGCTTGTTCTTTGCTTTGTCTGGAATGTTCCACAGTATGACATTAAACAGCTCTACCTTGTATTTTTTAATTATAAGAGGTTTTATAGCTAAAAAAAATACATAGAAAAACCAGCATTCCAACTGTGAGTGAGATTGCCTCTCCACAGATCTGATTTGTAACTTGGTCTGGTTTGGTCCCCATGAAGATAGAAAGGTTTAATTCCATACTGTTGAAACATTCCAGATAAAGTAATAACATCTCCATGGAAAAAAATAATTTGACGGACCCTCCACCAGAAAAGATACACAATGTATTTTTAAAACTGTACAGAATTTGAAGTGTATTTTAAGACAAAATTAGAACCTGGGTTTAGAGCAGTACCCAGAAATCATAACTTCTATGATTGGGCATAAAATTACACAATGGGGGGGCCTATTTCCAATTCAATGATTTCATGTAGTTAATTCAAATTTGCTGTAATAAACCCTTCTAAGATTCATTCCACCTGCTCATTATTATCAGGAGACCGGTCTTTTATTTAATACCGACCTATTCAGGTTTAACAAAAGCAGGTTCACAAAGACAGCTGATTTTCTAAAAACCAAAATCAAGGACATTCTGAGAAAATTGATATTTATTATTTCCTTTTTTTTTTTAATAAAAGATTTGAAAAAAGAATGGCATTACTATATATAGCATCATGACTAAGGGCAAAAATAATATTAGCACTGCCACCTTTGCTCCATACAAAACCTGAAAAAATCTCTTTAGTGACTAAGCGCTTCTTAAAGTAGCTTCCATACTGTATCTTCTACTTGTGTAATGATTTTTTTTGTTTTTTGTGTTTTTTTTGCTGTTAACATTGTGCATAATTGACAAAGGTTTTAAGTATTTAGACCTTACCTCCAGATATTTATTCTTTTTTAATTTTTGTCATCTATTCTTTGAAAATACCAGATTTATCAATGACTTAAATCAGCCTCAAATTATAAATAATGTGTTACTCAAAAACTGTTACTCTTTTTACTATTCATAATTTCTACTTCTTCAGTGTGAATAATTAATTATTTTGTAGTAACGTCTACTCTACCCCTGTATGTGGTCATAATGTTTTGGCTGTTGTGTGTATTACATTGACACTTACTATGAGGCTCCTCTGTGATCTCTCGGTCCTGGTAGTACCACACCACAGCGGGCACGGGCGAGCTGATGACGTCGCACACCACCTCAGCCGTCTCCCCGTGACGGAACTCCTGCGGCGACTGGACATCCCGGAACGTCAGCCGCTCTGCAACACAAACACACAAGAAAGCATTTTATTCATTTATTGTTATTAATTTAACCATTATTAAAAGAATTACAGGGTTCAAGCAGGAATGGTCAGAGCATAGATTGTAAATATATTAATGGACACAGCTAACCCGCCAGCCGCCATGTTCCATATAGGAAGTGTTCATAGAGGCGCTTCTGGCTCCACCGACTCTAGCTCCAATTGACTCTACACTGAAAAATGGTCACCCCTCGCTGTAACTGCTGCAGCAAGCTTCATCATTTTGCTCTTAAAATGTTCGTAATAACCCACTCTACATGAGCCTGGTGGTTTTATTTCACTAATTTGCCTTTAAATAAATTCCTATTCCTAACATAGAACTAGCTCCAAATTCACTCTTGTAACCGCAAGCCTCGTGAGCTTCATTTGACTCAAGCTGAACGCTGTGGGCGATGTCACACTCTCTTAGTCCACTTTTTTATACAGTCTATGAGTGAGAGATATATTAGCATATCGAAGTTAAAATCACAGTTAATGTTTTGAGGATTTGCAAAGAATTTTGTGCTCGTAAACCATAATAAACATAACATATTTAACATATTTAGATCACCATGTTACCATTTATTGATTTGAAAATTCTATATTTCCTGAAAACAATGTATTAAAATTGGTTTCAGTTTTGTTTTTGCTGCTTTAAAGGAACAGTTTCCTGGTGAGCTAGAGTGTTGGAGATGTGTGGAGACACTTTACTAAAAATTCCATCCAGTCCTTGTATTTGCAAAGGTTGCAGGTGCTAGGCTAGTGCATGCCAATAGTTATCCTGCCACTAAAAACAGTCTTACTCACTCCACAAAACACCTGAAACAAAACTATCGACACCAGACTGTCGATGTGAATGTCTGTGCCGATAGAATAATGTTTGAAATAATATTAATCTTGCATCGCATGAATCATCACATGTTGAGGGACTATTTTCTCATATATCAGTCCACCGCTGCCAAGCTTTCTATCAGGAAGTACAACTCACATAAATATTTCAAACGCAAAGTTAGTTTTACTTCTAAAATTATTCTATCAACACAGACAAGCACATCGACAGTTTGGTGTAATAATAGATTTGTTTCGGGTGTTTTGTGGAGTGGGTAAGATTGTGTTTAGTGGCAGGCTAACTATGGCCATTGACATGCACTAGCCTAGCACCAGCAACCTCTAGAAATACAAGGACTGGATGGAATATTTTTGTCTCCACACGTCTCCAACACTCTGGCTAACTAGAAAATTAGGACCTTTGTCCAAAATTCCAAACTGTCCCTTTAAGTCCCTCCATTTGCTCCCTGCACTAAGTCAGTCCATCTTTAAAGTGCAAAGTGTGGGAGCAGGGATGACGTAGGTTTGTGGGCTGAACATTGTACCTAGGAGCAATGTCAGGATTACTCAAATATGCATGGGTGACATCTACAACATCTAAAACCTCTTCAGGCAAATGTTTGATGAGGGAACAATATTATAACACGGTAGAAAGCTCCAAAAAGTAGATCTTGTGTAATCTACCCTCTAGAAGATCTCAATTTCAGTTTATTCCATGTAAAAAAGTACATTTTTGGGAAGTACCATATTTTTCGGACTATAAGTCGCACTTTTTTCATGGTTTGGGTGGTCCTGCGACTTATACTCCAGTGCAACTTATATGTTAAACTTTTCACACTGACAGCCACGAGAGGCGCTCTAGGCTTGTGTATTCCTGTACCACTGTCACTTCGCTCTACTGCGCATGTCGACTCTAGAAGAAAGAGAAAGAGCCATTGTCCTGTCTGGTATCATGTCAGTCAATTGCACCAATACTTCTATATCACTGACAATTCAGAATTTAAACAAACATAAAGACAACCGAAACCATCATGTCAGGATTCAGAAAAGCCGGAATAATTCTAACTGGAACTGATGCTGAGTCTATGCAGAAGAGGAAGCGGCGCTCCGTTCACCTCTGGAGGTCGTGGAGTTGTTCAAAAATGACACCGAGGATGAAGAATTCAATGGATTTAGTGATGTGGAGTAAAATGGAGAGTTTGTTAAACTTGTTCTGTTCTGTTATTTATGCTATAGTTATCTGTTCATATGTGATGTTAACAGCCTGTTGTTCTCTGTTCTATTGTTATTACTATAACTTGCATTTTAAGATGAAATGTCAGTTCCTGATCTCTGATTTTATGAAATAAATTTCCCCCAAAAAGTGCAACTTATACTCCAGAGCGACTTATATATGTTTTTTTCTTCTTCATTACGCAGTTTTTGGCTACTGCGACTCCGGAGTGACTTATAGTCCAACAAATATGGTTCTGAATATTATATTTGTCCACTTAAGAAGCAGCCAAAAGCAACTGTTTTCAAGGCAAAACTTATTGCTAGTTTCAAAATGCCATATACAATGGCAGACTCTTCATTTGCATGGTGTGTGTTTCATATTCATATCCATCTATAAGTGTCTCATGCAGCCCTTATAACAAAAGACTGTACCATCTCCTCATGTGTTATTCATGGACTCATATTTAATGGACTCAACACTACTTTAATGATGCTACCGCCAACTTACAGTATGCATTATTTCACATACAAGCCTGACACCGTGTACTTTCACTGCTAACTATTCACCACTAAAAGTATCTGTCATTCAATTTTCAATTTCAAAATTAAAACAGTTCAAAACCTCTACTCATGCATTCTAATTATTTGTTGAGTAGAAGACAAAGATAAATTACTACATTTGAACACATGAAAATACCTTAATTGCTTTGAGGGCTTGTAAAATTCTACTTTTTCTTTTCCCCCCCCCCGATAATTAAAACAATTTAGTCTGCACGTTTCTGAACAACAATCCAACAATCCAAAATCATAAATTATTCCCCTTCTGAACAAAATAGTTTTCTTTTTGTAACAACTTTTGAACAATTGAGAATATTCTTAGATGAGATTAATTTTTATATCAAATTGAGGTTTCAGATGAAAACTCATTTGAATGTTTTGGAAAGTGTACACACAGTTGAAATTGCGGTATTAAAACTCCAGAAACTAAAAAAAGAATGGTGGAAAAACTAGACTGATTTTGCAAAATATATTCTACTTTATGGCTTTAGTCTGAAAACCTCCTCATCATGAACAGAGCTGGAGTTGTGTTTTGTTTCATTCACACATGTTTAACACACAAATCTGGCATAGTCCTTCTAAAATGGAATACACTCTGTTCCATCTTGTGAGGTCATGTGGCAATAGAGGAAGTGCTCCACTGTGTTTTTAAACTCTATACAAGGTAAAAAAGTAGCTGTTAACCTTGAAAGCTACTGCTATATGACATCACAAGGTGGAACAGAGCATTTTGAGATTAGACAGACTAATAATCAGAGGTGGGAACTTGCACGTCGTGACTTGGCAGAGTCAGACTTGAGTCACTGTTTTTATAGGGTATCCCCAGGTTTGACTACCCCAAATTTAAGACTTTTTAAAGACTTTTTTAGGACCACTTAAATGAAAATTAAGACCAACATCGCACTCATTATGCGGGTGAAAAATGCCAGATATAATTCTAATAATGACCAACCAACTACCAGTACTATATCTAGAATCTAAGAGCCACTGTGGATTAAACCTAAACTTCCCCATGATCCGTCCAACGTCTTCCTCCACTCTACTGATTTTACTCATTTCTGCCGGCACCAGAAATCAAAGAATTGTTTGCGCATCCTCCAAATTAGACGTTCGTTCACATTATGTGATTTCACATTATTGTTTTTGCAGCTTGGTTGAGTATACAAAAATAGGCTAATGAAATTTAAGACCATTGTGAAAAAATAAGACTTGGACAACAGAATTTAAGACTTTTTAAGGTCTTAATTTAGGAAGTTGAAATTTAAGACCTTTTAAAGACTTTTAAGACCCCATGGCGATCCTGTTTTAGGACTTGAGACTTGACTTGATAAAATGGGACTCGACTTGGACTTGAAGGTCAATGACTTGGGACTTGACTCGGACTTGAGGGCTGTGACTTGAGAAGACTTTTAACCACTTTTAAATCTGAATTCTTTCTATTGTGACCATTATGATTCACACCAAGATCTTGTCAAAACATTTTAAAAGGAAAAATTTACATTTCTACAACTCTTACATACTCTAAAAAATCACTGTATATTTATATATGAGTTTTTATAAAGTACAATTTAGTTTAAAATTCATATAAATTGCAAAAATCTAAGCTATATTTGGTACTTTGGTTTAAAGACTTGAAATGACTAGAAGCTCAAAGCAGACGACTTCGACTTGACTTGGACTTATGGGCCAGTGACTCGAGACTCGACTTGCACATGCCTGTATTTGACTTGGGACTTGACTTGGACTTGCGGCCAAAGACTTGAGACTTACTTGAGACTTGCAAAACAAAGACTTGGTCCCACCTCTGCTAATAATGCAGGATTACGAAAAGCATATGAATGAAACAAAAAACAACTCCAGGTATGTTTTTGTGGAGGTAACAACATTATAACATGACCAAAACTTCACAAGTCAATATTTCTTTCATGCCTTTCATATATACATTTTTTTGTTTTTGTCATGAAAAACAAACCATATTTTTTAAAACATCATTCTGTTCTTCAAAATAAACCAAAACCCAGTGCAGTATGGTAGACAGTAGAGCTACACGATCGACTAACTTAACCGTCAATATTAGCAGTATATAGGTCCTTTTAAACTTTTCCCTGACCTTGGGATTTTATGTCTTGAATTATAAAGTTGTATACTCTTGTTTAGAACTTTCCCACACTGTGTACTCGGGCAGGGTCGCGGTGAGGTCACGGCGCGCACAGATGATGTAACCTCTCCTTTCCGCAGAGCCGGCCGGTCTGAGAGAGCTCTGATTGGTATTGACAGGTCTCAATCTTCAATCCTATACAACAAAAGCCGAGTCCGCGTCATTTCCTGGGTCGAAATCTGATGAAACCACACATGAAAGACGTGGATTCTACAGATAC